TTGATGACCAAGGTGAGGGGTTTATGGTGGGGTTGGTCACATTGATGACCAAGGTGTCTTGAGGGGTTTATGGTGGGGTTGGTCACATTGATGACCAAGGTGTCATGAGGGGTTTATGGTGGGGTTGGTCACATTGATGACCAAGGTGTCATGAGGGGTTTATGGTGGGGTTGGTCACATTGATGACCAAGGTGTCTTGAGGGGTTTATGGTGGGGTTGGTCACATTGATGACCAAGGTGTCATGAGGGGTTTATGGTGGGGGGTTTGATGACCAAGGTGTGGGTTTATGGTGGGGGTCACATTGATGACCAAGGTGTCTTGAGGGGTTTATGGTGGGGTTGGTCACATTGATGACCAAGGTGTCTTGAGGGGTTTATGGTGGGGTTGGTCACATTGATGACCAAGGTGTCTTGAGGGGTTTATGGTGGGGTTGGTCACATTGATGACCAAGGTGTCATTGATGAGGGGTTTATGGTGGGGTTGGTCACATTGATGACCAAGGTGTCATGAGGGGTTTATGGTGGGGGTTGGTCACATTGATGACCAAGGTGTCTTGAGGGGTTTATGGTGGGGTTGGTCACATTGATGACCAAGGTGTCATGAGGGGTTTATGGTGGGGTTGGTCACATTGATGACCAAGGTGTCTTGAGGGGTTTATGGTGGGGTTGGTCACATTGATGACCAAGGTGTCATTGATGAGGGGTTTATGGTGGGGTTGGTCACATTGATGACCAAGGTGTCTTGAGGGGTTTATGGTGGGGTTGGTCACATTGATGACCAAGGTGTCATGAGGGGTTTATGGTGGGGTTGGTCACATTGATGACCAAGGTGTCATGAGGGGTTTATGGTGGGGTTGGTCACATTGATGACCAAGGTGTCTTGAGGGGTTTATGGTGGGGTTGGTCACATTGATGACCAAGGTGTCATGAGGGGTTTATGGTGGGGTTGGTCACATTGATGACAAGGTGTCATGAGGGGTTTATGGTGGGGTTGGTCACATTGATGACCAAGGTGTCTTGAGGGGTTTATGGGTGGGGTTGGACCACATTGATGACCAAGGTGTCATGAGGGGTTTATGGTGGGGTTGGTCACATTGATGACCAAGGTGTCTTGAGGGGTTTATGGTGGGGTTGGTCACATTGATGACCAAGGTGTCATGAGGGGTTTATGGTGGGGTTGGTCACATTGATGACCAAGGTGTCATGAGGGGTTTATGGTGGGGTTGGTCACATTGATGACCAAGGTGTCATGAGGGGTTTATGGTGGGGTTGGTCACATTGATGACCAAGGTGTCATGAGGGGTTTATGGTGGGGTTGGTCACATTGATGACCAAGGTGTCTTGAGGGGTTTATGGTGGGGTTGGTCACATTGATGACCAAGGTGTCATGAGGGGTTTATGGTGGGGTTGGTCACATTGATGACCAAGGTGTCTTGAGGGGTTTATGGTGGGGTTGGTCACATTGATGACCAAGGTGTCATGAGGGGTTTATGGTGGGGTTGGTCACATTGATGACCAAGGTGTGAGGGGTTTATGGTGGGGTTGGTCACATTGATGACCAAGGTGTCTTGAGGGGTTTATGAGGGGTTTATGGTGGGGTTGGTCACATTGATGACCAAGGTGTCTTGAGGGGTTTATGGTGGGGTTGGTCACATTGATGACCAAGGTGTCTTGAGGGGTTTATGGTGGGGTTGGTCACATTGATGACCAAGGTGTCATGAGGGGTTTATGGTGGGGTTGGTCACATTGATGACCAAGGTGTCTTGAGGGGTTTATGGTGGGGTTGGTCACATTGATGACCAAGGTGTCATGAGGGGTTTATGGTGGGGTTGGTCACATTGATGACCAAGGTGTCATGAGGGGTTTATGGTGGGGTTGGTCACATTGATGACCAAGGTGTCATGAGGGGTTTATGGTGGGGTTGGTCACATTGATGACCAAGGTGTCATTGAGGGGTTTATGGTGGGGTTGGTCACATTGATGACCAAGGTGTCTTGAGGGGTTTATGGTGGGGTTGGTCACATTGATGACCAAGGTGTCTTGAGGGGTTTATGGTGGGGTTGGTCACATTGATGACAAGGTGTCATGAGGGGTTTAGGTGGTCACATTGATGACCAAGGTGTCTTGGGGTTTATGGTGGGGTTGGTCACATTGATGACCAAGGTGTCATGAGGGGTTTATGGTGGGGTTGGTCACATTGATGACCAAGGTGTCATGAGGGGTTTATGGTGGGGTTGGTCACATTGATGACCAAGGTGTCATGAGGGGTTTATGGTGGGGTTGGTCACATTGATGACCAAGGTGTCATGAGGGGTTTATGGTGGGGTTGGTCACATTGATGACCAAGGTGTCTTGAGGGGTTTATGGTGGGGTTGGTCACATTGATGACCAAGGTGTCATGAGGGGTTTATGGTGGGGTTGGTCACATTGATGACCAAGGTGTCATGAGGGGTTTATGGTGGGGTTGGTCACATTGATGACCAAGGTGTCATGAGGGGTT